CAGCCCCTGCCTGAGGGTCCACGTGCCCACGTCCTGCCCAACGCCACCCTGCTCCTGCCCTCTGTCACCCGCCGGGATGCTGGCAGCTACTCCTGCCTTGCTCGCAACGCCTTGGGGTCTGCCATGGCCCATGTTTCCTTGGCTGTCCAAGGTGGGTGTCTGCCCCAGGGACTGAGTGGGGGGACTTCTGGGTGGCTTAGGGACTGGTGTAAAGGCTGATATCACCTTTCTGAGCAAGATCTAAGCCCCTTGATTCATACTCTGGTTTACTCTATGGGGCGTTGGTGAGCGCAAGGGACAGGGCTATGCTGGCCCCATTTTCACATGGGACGTCAACCCCAGTGCCCCTGTCCTGGTCCCTTTTGTCCCAGGGGAGCCACGCCAGGTGCGGGGCAGCCTGCTCGGTGTCGTCAATGCCCATGAGGTTGGTGTTGCCAGCCTTGATGCCAATGTGCTGGATGACCCACGCTCTGGCACCACTGCCATCCAGAGCAGCATCAGCAGCATCCCACCCACCGTTGGTAGGTGCTCACCCCAGGGAGGGTTTTGACCTGTGTCAGGTGAAAATCTATGGGGACAGATTTATTTTCTGTTTTTTAATCTTTATTTTGTATTTTATTTATTATTTTTATTTTATGTTATTTTATTTTACTCCAAAAAGCAATACCCTATGTCTGCACTGCACCCTATGGGCAAGAGGGGCCAGGGTGGTTGTGGAGGGCTGGATGCCTCTTAAGAGGGTGCTGGCTCTGTGGTGACCCCTCTTCTCCTCCACCCCAGGGCCACTGATGCGGGTGCTGGTTGCCATTATGGCCCCCATTTACTGGTCCCTGGCACACACCAGCAGGGAGGCCCAGAGCGGGTTCCTGCTTACCCATGGCACCTTTCGGCACGAGTCACAGCTGGAGTTTGCCACAGGTGAGGATGCCGGGAGCCCCAGCCATGTTGGAGACTGGTCCTACCTGGCTCAGCCTCCATCTCCCCATCCCTGGAGACTCAGCCCATCGCTGGACTGAGCTTCACAGCCAGAGATGGAGCTGTGTTTGGGAGTGCCAATGGTCTCACTGCTCCCCGACCCTGGCAGGGGAGCTGCTGCGGGTCACCCATCTCGCCCGGGGCATGGATGCCACTGGTGCTCTGCTCTTGGACACTGCTGTCAGTGGCTACGTGCCGGAGAGCATCAGTGATGCCACAGTGCTGCTGCAGGTGCCGGTGCTGCCCGTCCCCATGCAGGGCCATGACTCCCATGCTGGGAGCCTGGAGGGGTCCATGGTCTGACCCTCCTCCCTGCCTCTCCCAGGATTTCAGGGAGCGCTATGTGCAGACAGGCATGGGGCAGCTCTCGGGGAGCTCAGTGCAGAGCTTCCTGCTGGACGGGCGCATTGTCCGTGCCCGCTGCAATCACACCATCGTGTACAACCCCGCCGCGGGCCCACAGCCCCACCGGGTGCAGCATGCCCGGGCCAGTGCCATCAAAACCTCCTATGACCCAGCCTTGCAGGTGCTCCACTTCCAGCTCCACGCCTCGCTTGATGCAGGTGAGAGGATTGCCAGGCATGGGGATGGAAGTGCTGGCTCCCTCGTTGGTACTGGGTGGCTATACAAACCCATGTCCCCAAGGTGACATGTCCCTTCTCATCACTTCTGTTTAATTCCTAGGGGCTGATGGAGATCAGTGCCCTCTGGGATTCATCCAGGGCCCTGGGCAGATGTACTGCATTGGTATAGACCCTTTCTGAGGGGGATATGGGGATGAAAAGGGACACCTACTGCATGGTGCCACCTCCCCAACACTCTCCTCTCTCTACTCGCCAGATATCGATGAATGCGCCGAGGGGTCTCACGCCTGCCGCTACAACCAGCTCTGCCAGAATGTTGCAGGGACCTATAGCTGTGCCTGCCCTCCTGGTTACCATTCACTGGGTGCAGGTTGGCCCTGCTTAGGTACATATCCTTGGGTACAGGGCACAGAGCCATGGTTGCACCCCTACCCCGCTCCAGCCTCAGTTTCCCCATCCAGCTGCAACTCCCTGTCTCTTTCTTCCACCAGACATAAATGAGTGCCTGCAGATTCCTCCTCCCTGTGCCTTTGGATGCCACAACCTGAGGGGCTCCTACGAGTGCCTGTGCCCCTCAGGCAGGACCCTGCTGTCAGGTGGAGAATGTGGCGCCATGGGGGCAGATAGAGGGGGGACAACAGGCAGCACTCCCCAGGACACCCCTCTGCGCTGGCTGGGGCCCAGCAGTCACCCCCGGGGTCGATCCTTCTACACCCAACTCACCTTGCGTCGCGTGGCCAAGGCTGCTGGGTTGGGTGCCCGGGGACCACCCTGTCCCATGGGCTTCGTCTTGAGGAATGGCACCTGCATGGGTGAGTGTGCATTGGGGAAGGGCTTTGCAAAGAGTCTGGGGGCCACTTTGGGTGCCCAAAAGGCAGCTCCTGCACCTCTTGGTGCCTTGTTTCCCATTTTGCTTATGGGGCTGTTGTCTCCTGGGGTTTGGCTGTGCTGGGAAGGGGAGGTGAGAGCCAGGATGCTCCAGGGTAGTGGGCACCAGAGGAGACAGATGCCTTCCCGCCTACCTTCATCCCCCTTCCCCCACAGATCTCGACGAGTGCCAGATGCTGCCCCAGTGCCAGCACCAGTGCAGGAACAGCCCGGGCAGCTACCGCTGCATCTGCCCTCCTGGCTACCGGCTGCTGCCCAACGGGAAGATGTGCCATGGTCTGTGTGGGGGTTTCAGGGGGATGCTCCTGCCCTGTTGGGATGCCTGTGTCCCTTGGGGGGGTGAACCCAGCACTCCTGGTGCCCTGGATGCCATCCCTCTGGGGCTGCAATTCGTTCTCCTCCCAGAGAAACCCCACCATCTCACTGCCCCAGTACCCCAGATCCCAGGCAGGGGTGGGAAGATGTGGTAGCTGGGGTTTGAATCCCCATTTCAGCATGGGGCACTTGGGCACCCCGGCACCCTCAGACCCATCCTCTCTCTGCCCACAGATGTGGACGAGTGTGCAGAGGGCACAATCCAGTGTAGCTCCAGCCAGATGTGCTTCAACACCCGTGGAGGTGCCCAGTGCATGGATGTGCCATGCCCAGCTGGTTACCAGAGAGGCTCCAGCCCTGGGTGAGTCCTGCCATGGGGTTTGGGGGTGCCTGTCCCTTGCCCTTTCTGATGGCATCATGGATCCAGGCATCCTGGCCGCTCCTGACACCCTGCTGCACCCTGCATTCCCCCTGGCTCTCATGCAGGGTCTGTGTTGGTCTGTGCATCCCGAACTGCGGCTCGGCCAGCCC